TGGGAACTTTGTCTCGAGAGGATCCGAGATGAAAAGACGAACACACCGCATCTCGTGATCCTCGGCACCCCGGGAATCGGCAAGACGTTTTTCGGCTTTGTGATCGTGCTTATTCTCGCCCGTGCTGGTGCAACGGTGGTATATGAGAGTGGTGGCCTCAAGAAGCGCTTTTTATTTGCTCACAATGTGGTGGCTCAAGGATCTCAGGAAGATTTTGTGCGCATTCTCGACCAGCCGACTACATACTACATCGTGGATGCCGTCAAGCCTGCGTATTACCCAGCGAAGACGATTCTTTTGACGTCGCCGCGCCGCTCCATCTGGTACGAGTTCAACAAGACCAATTGCCAGTCCTGCTACATGCCAGTGTGGTCTTTGAAGGAGATTCTACAATGTCGTAAGCTGATGTACTCGGATACACCTATGGCCGTCGTGCAGGATTGCTTTCGTCGATGGGGTGGTATTGCTCGCTATGTCTTGCGATTTTCACAAGTTGGTGACCAGCAGGTGTTGCTTGAAAAAGCAACGGACACTGTTGATCTCGACTGGTTGGTGAAAGCCTGTAGTCAACTTGATGCGAACGACGCTCAAGTGTCGCATCGATTGCTGCACTATCGCGTTAGCAAAGCTTTTGACAGCGAGTACTTCGCTTTTGCATCGCAATATGTTCAGCAAGCGGTGTACAATCGGCTGTACAAGAAGGATAAGCGGAAGCTGCTAGAGTTCATTGCTGCCTCGGATGGAGTTGGTGCTCTTTCGTGGCCACTTGTTCGAAGGGCATGTGCATTCAGTGCTGCCGCGAGGTGGAACGTTTCAAGTTCGACGTTTGGTCGAAAACAACGAGGCGTACGATGATGATGATGATGACCTTATGGGAGATGAATGGGACGGCGATGACGAGGATGGTGATGATGGCATGAATGAAGATGATGCCGTTGCGATGGACGAATCCAATGCTGTGGCGTTGGTCGACGGTGGCGCCGCACCTGTCATTTCTTTTCAGAGACTCGAGAAAGTTGTTGTTTTCAATCATGGCAGTGAAATTGAAGCTGCTTCTAACACGAGTTACCTACAGCCAGCGGTGAAAAATTACCAGTCGGTCGATGCGATCATCAAGCCGGATATTTTGTTGCAGGTGACAGGTGCACACAAACACCCCTGCAAGCAAAAAGGTCTCCACGATGTGTTGGAGCTCCTGGGAAATCCTGCAGCACCGCGGCTGTACTTCGTGCTTCCGCCTGACAGATTCACCGATTTCAAATATCAAAAGTATCTGGACTCAAAACGCAAGAGGATGATGGCGCCAAGCTATGAGAACGTGTGCAAGATACAGCAGTTTGCGATGGAAGTCAAATTTGAATCGGAGTAGGTGTGCAGTTCCGAGGTTCCAAAACCGCGTTCCGAACCGGTTCCAAAATGATGCCATACTTACTACATGTAGAGCTGCTGTAGTGCTTCAATTCTATAATGAAATGCAATTATATGTATTAATTGTGGGAACCCTGGGTCCAAAATTTTCGGAACCAAATTTTAATAACTAGAAGGGCTGTGGTTACATTGACATTTCTCCGTTGGTGCTCGGGCTCCGAGTTCTTATACTTTTATATGTAAACATATAAAATTTATAGAGAGGGGGGTAAGGGGTAGTTTAGAAAGAACAGGACAGTCCCGCGTTTTTTTTGTGGAACTTGGGAGCTCGGTCCCGCATGGTGTATAAAATCTACCATGATCATAATACATGTAGTTAATGCTACGTCGGTTCGGTGACATGGAACCGGTCCAGGTCATGTTTAGGAACCTTACGCACTACTGAATTTTAATAACTACAATCACTCTGGTAATCCCTCGTTTAAAGCGCCGATCGGGGACAATGTACGAGAATTCACATTAGGATTACGTTAAGTCGCGCGTTCTTTCTCTGAGCGTACGCTAGTGGACAGACTGCATTGATTATGTTACATCGTCCGCTCAACCTGTGCATAAAATGGCATCTAGGGTACCCTTAGACTCTAAGGGTAAAAAGTTAGAGACAGCGATGATGTACCATGTAGTAGTACAGTATTAATACGTCACTTCACGCACGAATCGAAGCTCTCAAGACAACTCAAAGGACCATTATCATCTCGTTGATCATCAACGAGGTGATCAACTTGATCATCGAAGAGAATAGAACAGCATTAACCCCGTAAGACAAGTCCGTGCGCCTTGCACTAGTGTCAAGCTCATGGCCTTGCAAGAGATTTGCTTGAAAAGCCTAACGTAATTGTGCTCCAATAAAACAAGACTGTGCGCTAACCTATTTCATTTCGACGTTTTAACCATTTCCTAAAACTTAAAACACGAAAACTTGTGAGACAGTGGAATGGGCAGACTGCTCATATCCGCAGTGCATTACCCGCAAAAAGAATGGACACTTGACAGCAGGAGTCAAGTGTGCAGTTCTTCTCACAGGACAGCACAGGGACCGATCACAGCAGAGCCGATTCCACCCCACTCTCCATCGCTGGAAAGCTGACGGCGGAGTGATCTTCTCGTAGCGGCTAAGTACTGGGCAAATAATAAGCAGCAGACAATATACACATCATCCGGCTCCCAGCACCTTACAGCTCGAGCTCCTTCACCGTTTCCCACGTGAAGTCCGCGTCCTCACGGCCGAAGTGGCCGTAGGCAGCGGTCTTCTGCATCACCGGGCGCTTCAGCTGCAGGGTCTTCTGGATCATACCCGGACGCAGGTCGAAGTTCTTCTTGATGATCTCAACCAGGTCGTCGTCAGTCACACCTTCCTTCACCGTGCCGTACGAGTCGACGTGGATCGACAGCGGGTAGGGCACACCGATGGCGTACGAGAGCTGCACAAGGAGACGGTGGGCAAGACCCTTGGCCACCACAGACTTGGCAACCCAACGCGCAGCGTAGGCAGCAGAGCGGTCAACCTTAGTCGTGTCCTTGCCGGAGAAGGCACCTCCACCGTGAGCGCCCCAGCCGCCGTACGTGTCGATGATGATCTTACGGCCAGTCAGACCGGCATCACCGTGCGGTCCACCAATGACGAAGCGTCCAGAGGGGTTCAAGTGGTACACTGTCTTGTCGTCAAGGTACTTCTCCGGGATAACGGTCTGGATGACGTGCTTCATCAGATCCGCGGCGATCTGCTCGTTGGTCACGTCGTCGTTGTGCTGGGTAGAGATGACTACGGTGTGCACGCGCTGGGGCACCATGCGGCCGTCCTCCTGCTTGTACTCCACAGTGACCTGGGTCTTACCGTCGGGGCGAATCCAGTCAAGGGTGCCATTCTTACGCACTTCTGTCAGCTTGGAGCCAAGCTTGGTAGCAAGCACGTGCGACAGCGGCATGAGCTCGGGCGTCTCGTCCGAGGCGTAGCCGAACATGATACCCTGGTCACCAGCGCCGACGTCCTCGTCCGTGACGGAGTCCACAGATTGGGCGATGTCAGGCGACTGCTGCTCAATGGCCACAATGACGTTGACCGTCTTGTAGTCAAGGCCCTTGGCAGGGTCGTCGTAGCCGATCTCCTTGATGGTGTCACGGATGACCTTCTCGTAGTTGACGATAGCCTTGGTGCTGATCTCGCCGAAGATCATGACCATGCCAGTCTTAGCGCACGTCTCGCAGGCAACGCGCGAGTTGGGGTCCTCCGACACGCAGGCATCCAGCACGGCGTCGGAGATCTGGTCACAGAGCTTGTCCGGGTGGCCCTCGTTCACGGACTCGGACGTGAACAGGAAGGTACGGTCCTTGGTGGTGGTCTGGGTCATCTTTAAGGATTGAAGGAGTTCTTAAAGTGCAGAATGAATGTGGGCGCCGGCAAGCAGATTCCAGAATGGGCGCCGCCATGGATGGCGCAGCATGGCATCGGTTTAAAGCGTAAAAACCTCGGGGCTTGAAGGTGAAAAACCTTGGTCGAAGAATGCAGGTGAGTGGTGGGCCCAGCGCGATGAGCTTTCAACCAATCGACGTGCCGCGTTCCGCCGCCTGGACCAATCATACGAGCACGTAGCGTCTGGTCAGGAGACGAACATGTACATTCGCTCTGCCCGTGTCGTCATCCTCGAGACCTCGCGATCTCATAATAACGCTGGCGTACGGGGGTGGTGTTCGTGCTAATGAAATCTTGCTCCACCGAGCGCTGCGGGTGTACGCGTGGCATGTCAGCGTCGACCGCTACACCGGACTTGCTTGCTTAGCACCACCCATTTTCAATCTCAGGTGCGTCACCCATCTACCTTGATAATCCAATGGAAATTCTACTGGGAACGCCGAAGGTAGCCAAACGTTTTATGCGGGGAATGAATTCTAAAAGATAAGTGATGATCTTTTTTTCGACCAATCGACCAGAACACGCTGTTCCACATTGAACACGACATATTTCTAGCCAATTGAATGCAAACACGATGACAGCAAGTTGCAGACTCAAACTATCCATGGTGCTCTTTTTGATCTTCGATAATTTGGGTTGTAGCTTAACTCTCAAATCTGCAGTTGCTGTAAGGGAGTTAAGCGAATATTATATGTACAGTATTGCTACTGAAACGACCGTCGACTGCGCGTACTGTACACCACTCTAAGCCTAACTCTAGGCGCTCCTGTTTTTCATCATCGTGTATGTGAAAAACGACAGACAGCTACTTGAGAAGGTCGGTTGTGACTGCACTATTAAATACGGTAGCAATTAGCAATCCGGGTATTAAAACGGATAGCTTTAGTCTACTAGCTAGTTTTAATTGACATTCGCCAGTGGGTTCAATCAAGTATGCTGTACCAGGTATTGAATGATAGACTGCATAGGGTGCAGAGGCTAGTAAGAGCTGGTGTGTGGACAAAGACGTAGTAGCAAAAGAATGGCGCTTAGTTTGTTTAGGACGATACGATATACACAATGTGTATACGGTGTCGTATACTCTCAGCGCATTCAGTAGGCTCATGCACTGATATAATATAATCTAGTTTGATTGGTTCAAAGTACCAAAACAAGTACAGCCATGAACAGCGTACTGTCGACGTTGACGTGGGGCACCTGGGATGACTCTGAATGGGGCCTCACAAAAGATGCAACACCAGCCTTTATCGCCACTGCTACGTCTAAAACTTTTGACCTCGTGGAATCATCCCAGAGACAGCGAAGTATTCGCAAACTGCGTAGAAAGGGGCTGCAGGCGCCCAAAAACTCGCAGCTTTGGTTCGAGGAGCTACTGGAACGCGTAGAGGGCACATCGTTCGGCTGCAGTAAATCCTGCTATCACTGCAACCCACTCAAGTGTCTGCACATATCGGAAAAGACTTGTATTGAGATACAACAAGAGGGCATCCCCTGGGCGGATCTACCGGACGGAATCCACCCGCAAGATGGCAAACTGCCAGCAGAGCGAGCAAGGAACAAGAGACAGCAAGTGGACAACCTCGCAGTTTTCTTGCGACGCATTTTGAGGTTTGTCATACCGTGGGGGGTTGCTGCTATGTGCTGGAAAGGCTAATAATGCTTTAATTTCCTGTTCCAGGCCAGGCGATGTGGTTGTGGAGTTCTGCGCAGGGTCTGGATACGTGGCACTACCGCTTGCTTGTCTCTTTCCACAGTGCAAATTTGTCCTGCTTGACAAGAAGGAGCCTTCACTTGCAATCGGTATGACTAAATGGATGTATTCAACGCTTTTTAACTCGCTGACATGCTTTGTCACGTAGCTAAGGAGCGTATTGCTGCTGCCCAGTTGACCAACGTGGAGATTTTCTGCGGCTTCATCGATGACTATCATAAGCCGTTCGATGTGGGTATTGCACTCCACGCTTGCGGGGAGGCCACCGATATGGTGATGCAGAAATGCCTCGCGGAACGAGCCGCCTACGTGCTAGCTCCGTGTTGTGTCGGCAAAATCAAGCTAAGCGAGCTGTCTTACCCTCGTTCTGCCGCCTTGGCTGCTGAGCTCTCACGCACCGAGTACGAAGTGCTAGCGAAGGCTGCAGACTTCGGTCACTCGAGCAACACTACTGTGGCGCACAGCGACATTAATCGTAGACGTCGACGCTGCAAGACGCTCCTTGAGAGTGATCGCAACATGCGTGCAGAGGAGGCGCAGTACGACACGTCCATGTTTGTTATGTACCCGCCTACTGCCACGCCAAAGAACGACGTACTGGTGGGAATACCACGAAATCTCACGGCCGAGCAAGGCGACAGACTGTTCCAACTCGAGTGCGAGGCTGTTCTATCGACGGACGCACTGGTACGCAAAGCAATGCTCGGCGCATAGACAAATAATAGACTGTACGTTTTGCCTTGACGTGGCTTGGTATGTTAGATTAAAGGGGTCATTATCGCGGCAACGACGCTCTCACTCGCTGCAACAGCTCCCGCGTATCAGATGACTGGAAATCACGGCAATCTATCAACATTAAAGGAGCTGAGCTGGATGGCGCTTTCTCAAAAGTCATGACCCCTTCCAAGTTCATTAGCGCGAACTGCATACTGGCCGCCCATTTGTGAGCAACTTGGACCTTCGTTTGCATTGTTTGAAGAAATTCCGAGCACGGAACCCCCATGAGGCGCGTCACGAAATCTTCAGCCACGTCAGCTTCTCTCGTAGCAGTGCAATCCTCCACGGAAACTCGAAGCTGGTACTTCCCAGTGTTAAATTGGAAACCTACTACCGACTTGATACAAGCACGGATCTGGAATCTAATCGTTGTTGTCGTCTGATTCAGTGCTGTCAATGCTGGCGAGCGCGCTGTGAAGTACTGGAACGGGCGTGTTGGATTCAACAGCGGAGCTGACCCAGCCATCATGTTGTTTATCTTGTTTTCACCCAGCAGTGAAAACCTTGAAGTAGTCTCCACTACCGCAACGTGAGCAGTGCTTATTGTCCGTGCAGACGTCGACATTTGCTGAGTTTGAGACCTATTGGATGCGTTTCTCCCTATAGTTTGCTCCATTGACGGTGATCGCGGCCGCTTCCTGGAAGGCATTACCCTGTTTTGAGGTGCCTTAGCCTTCTCCGTACCAGCAGGATATCGAGGAGTCTTCGGGCTGTAGAAGAGGTGCTCTACCATTGGGTCTGTGGTGTCGCTATCCATGCCTTCATCTGACGAAGGGGCATCTACAAACACGGACGGGACTGAACTGCTGGTAGCGACGGTCGACGCTGTTGCCTGGTAGTTTGCGCTCATAGATACCAGAGGAATAGTGCTAGCAGTCCGAGGAATGTTGCTGGGCGTTGCAGCTATTGTCGGAGGTCTAGCGACCGACTGCTGTCGAGCCGGACGTGGAGCTACGGGTTGTTTCTGCTCTGACGAAGTGAATTGTGACGTCACCAGAGCTGAAGAGTACGCTCCAGCACTCAAGCCATTCTCTTGGATAGGTTGCTGCACTTGTTCATTGCTACGTCCCGAATAATCTGCCGACGTCTCCAATAACTGGCAATTTTCAGGTCCCAACAGAAGCAATCCATGCCTCACTGGCACATTCTCCACCACAATTTTGGTCCCGCGCGGCACGTTCACACTAAACTGTGGCAGGGAAATATACTCGAAGCCGAATACCAATTGGTGGCCATCTGTCAGGCCGACTTTGAGTGTGCGTGCTGCGCCAGCAGTCGAGAACTCAGTGCGATGCTCGTAGCTGGCGGCAATATTGGCCACGTCCACCACCTGCACGGTACCGGCACTGTGAGTCCGTCAATACAGCCTTAAATCAAATAGTTATTGAGATGGTTGCCTTACCTGAAGGATGCACATGCCCTGGATGGTGTAGCCGTTAAGCTTCGCAACGTCCGGAGGCAACACTGGTCGGCAACTTTGATGCAGATCCGACTGTATTAACCTCCCGAACAGGTACGCGCCATACGGAGCCTGTTGCTGAGATCCACTGGTAGAAGACCGGAACTTCTGAAACTCGCAAGCCTCCCACTCTGGGTCCAGCGCCTCGTACGGCAGCGGCCGGCATCCTGCCGGCGGTGGCGCCATGCGCGGTGCAACTACTATGGCAAAATTTACGATAGAATTAATGTCAAATTTCACCATCGTCGTGTAACAAGTTCATTTTGGTTCAAGAATAAATGAAGTTCGTCCTTTTAAAGATCTGCCAATTTATTCTACATTAACCTTGACGATGTGGTCACTGTTATCTTCAGTGTACGATGGCATTGTACGTGCGAATGGGACGGACTCTGCTGCATTCAAAAGGCTATCCACCGCAAACTAACAAAAAAAAACGACGAGCAATTAGTGAAAACCCAGTAGCATAGTCGCCAAACGGATAGCTTACCTCGAGGTGACCACGAAGCGCTAGAACTTGAGGCAGCTCAACTAGGTGCAACTTGGCGTAGCGCAGTACGACAAGTCCACTGCCAATTGACAGCAAGTAGAACGCCCAGGTGCGCATCCCGCCTTCTCGTGCTTATTGTGCACGAGGAATGCGAGACAAGCAGCATACGTCACCACAAACAGGACCAACAAAGGACACGTACGTTTGCGATAGTTGCCTTTGATATTGCTTGGACTTAGTGACGTTGGAAAGCGGCCCACGAATTTGTCAATCTTGCGGATGTAGTAGCCCAAAATCCTGAGTCGGTACTGATCTTCCGCCTGGACGATCTAGCTCGCACAAGCCCAAAAGCGTGAATATCTAAACTACGTTGATCTTCTCAAACCAGGTACTCACCTCCATCCAGTAGGCCCAGCGCATCTGCAATCCTTCTGGCCATAACACAAAGTATCGGTACTACGCCACATCATTGACACAGCCAGATTAATACGCCCTGCTATCCTAATCAGACACAATAGACTTCTGCCTCGCACCAATGCCAGCGCCAGCTCCACTAGACACACAAGCACCACCACCAGGAACACGATCGTGTCCACAAACCAATCGCGTGTGCAGAAGACGATGCTGGACGGCACCACGAATACTAGCAGTACGCGCGCCAGCCCGAGCGCAAAATATCTGCGCTCTTGGACCGTCAACGTGTCATCGGATAGATGAGGCGCGAAGTGGCGTACGGTGCTGCGCTTGTGGCCCAAGTTTCCCTCCGAAGCCACTAGCATAAGTGGTCGCTTGTGTCTCTTAGATAATGACTGCAGTTTCCATGCTTCAAGAAGATCGGTAATTTCATTAGATAAAAATTGAATATAGATAGGACGGCTTCAACTTCAGCTTTTCGTCTACTTCTTGTAGTCTCTGGGACAGTTAATCGGCCTTGCCATCGTCCAGGTGCACGTCCACCGTCTCGAGTGAGACCTCGGGCAGGTCTCCGTCCGCGGCCTCGCCTCGAGGCGACTGCGATTGACTGTACGACTTGCTATACTTCTTGCTGAAGCCGACGGTCGTGGACACCGTGCTGACAGCAGCCTTGAACTTGCGGCGCGCGTTGAAGCGACGCAGCTCCTCCAGAGCACTGGTGAGCTGTACGGTAGCCAACTCCGTGCCTGTGACCCAGCGGTGTGCCAATAGTTGGTCTACTGTCGCACTGCAGAGAAAACACCAAGCCAAAAGATCAGTACTGTGTCTTACTAAGGCCAAAGAAGGCAGCAAAAACGGACTTACCGCTTCTCCGGGTCCACAACGAGCATCTGCGAAATGAGGTCCTTGGCGTCATCCGAGACGTGGTCCCAGTACGGTGAATCAAACTGGAATTTGCCCTTCTTAATCTTCTTGAAGAGCGCGTTGTGGTTGTCATCATGGAACGGCGGGTAACCACACAGCAAGATGTATGTGATGACGCCAATGCTCCAGATATCCACCGTCTTGCCGTACGGCTTGCCCTCGAGAATCTCCGGAGCAACGTAGCCAGGTGTACCGCAGGCCGTTACGAGGCCCTCACTGTCAAACTCAATCCTCTTTGCGAAGCCAAAGTCGGCCAGCTTGATGGAGGCATCGTCGTCCTTGCTGGTAAGCAGAAGATTCTCCGGCTTCAAGTCGCGGTGCACGATGTCGGCATCGTGGCAGTACTTAATAGCTTCAAGAAGCAGCTTAACCAGATCGCGAGCTTCCCTCTCGTTGTAGTACGACTAGAAAATTAAAAAAAAAAGCAGTTAGTAAAAAGAACTCCCAAAATTGTCGAAACGAAGCTAGGGTGGTAACGTTACCAACCTTCTCGACGATACGATCAAAGAGTTCGCCACCCTCCATGAACTCTGTCACCAGGTAGTAGAATTTATCCTCAACGAAGAAATCATGTAGGATCATGATGTTCGGGTGATTCATCTGCAGGAAGAAGAAGTATCAAAAAAGACTGTTATGTCTTACTCTGGTGATGCTGTAGTTGCTTACCTGTTTGAGAATGGCGACCTCCGTTGTCAGTGCCTCAATATCTTCTGCCACTAAACCGTCGCGCTTTATACATTTGATGGCGTAACGCTGGCTCGTAGGCTTGTGGACGGCGATGCGCACGACCGAAAACGTGCCCGAGCCGATTACCTTGCCCATTGTGTATTGTTCCTCGAAGCTGTTGGGGTTAGTCGTGGATGGTGTCGACTTGCCGTTTACTGTGGCATTGTTCTCGCCGTTAGCGTCCATCTGGGCGCTACCGTTCACAACGTCTTGATCCTGGTGCGGCGCACATAGAGACTGTTAGTTCTTGAAGGTCAACGCAAATACAACCAAGGTGGCGCTTACTGGCTTGGAATTGACGCAGCCCATGTTGCTTCTTGTTGTGGTGGCTCGGAGTAGGAGTCAGTCGTGTGCTGCAGCCGGTTCTAGTTGCGTTGTGGTGATGCTAATTCGGCAATATCTGCTCTTCGTAAGCCGTTGTATAAAGCAAAAAACGGATCGGGGTGTCACCTAAAAATAGACGATTTGGACCAATAAAGAGAGTTTATCATGAGGGCTAGGGCATTTATTTGAGATGCTTCATGTGCGTGGCCAAGATCCGGGTACGCTTTGGTGCTCAGAAAGTGAAGGTGAACTTGTCACCCTGTCCAGGCAAAGCGCAACAGTGTGGGTGACTTAGATCAAGGCATGTCGTCCAGGACTATGCGGCTTTAACTACGCACCTGACGGAGTTTGATGTTGAGCTTGGGCTCCGTGTATGAGATGCGTTTGATGCGTCTCCTGGAGCGTCTGCTTCGGAATGGGCTGCGCTGTTGGCCGAAGCGTCCAGGCACGAACGGCGATTTGTTGCAGCGAGTTCCAGAATTTATGCGGGGTGTCGACGGCCGAGTAATCGTCTGGCTTGCCCGCTTACCTAAGCCGTAGTAATCTCCCTGGTTTACCGCGTTAGCTTACGGTATCATCAAATGCTAGAAAAGAGGTTGGACGCACCCGACGGAGTTTCGTATTCAGATTGGGCTCTACGTATGACATATTGGCATCTCGCTGGCGTAGTCGTCTCTTCACACCAGCCTGTCAGCGTCAACGGGGTAAGCTCAATTCCATTTAGGCTAGTTGTCAGGGTAAGAGAGTACCTGTGAGCCTGTTCGATTCGAGCTGGCTGTGTTGAAAGACACTACAGTGCTTTGAAAGGAGCTAGTTCCTGGCACACCTTCAGGCCCAGTTTTCTTACAAATAAGCGCTCCTGCATCGTCGCTTTCTCCTGAGCTTTCGTTCTCCTGGCACTGACAGCATTAGACACGATCGTTCTTTCATAATGTTCAGCTTACCGCTATGGTCGTTGGCCGCTCGAAAGCCATTGGATCTCTCCGACTTGTTGTCGCGAAAAGTGTTCGTGGCTCCTGGTCGTACACACTAGAGCGGTAGGCGATGCGGGTCACAAATTGCAGACACAGTCTAACGTACCGAGTGAGGCATCGGTATGGATCTACAGCTCCGAAATGGAGAGAGTGGTGGGTCTGGCTCGAGCTGCATCTTTCCTATGGATGCATGATCGAGATCCTCGAAGTTGCATTGAGTAGCCTTGTCATGCACTTCGTCAGCAAGAAAAGCCCGGTCATTAATGCCCCCAAAACATACAATTACGAATTGTTTTACCTGCAGGCTTGTGCCGTGCCTCCATCCACTCCACCACTGTCATGTCAAAAAGCTGCATAAGCAATTGTTTCGACACCAATTACAGACAAGGACTTTCACATTATCACCTTTATCGGAGAAGACAGTGCTCTTAGCCACTCGAGCTTGGCGAAAACACAATCAGCTTGGCTAAAAGTTGATATAAGCTACACACTGCGCTCACCTTTTGTAAGTTCTTGCTTGGTTACAGTCTGCAAGGGAGCAGGATGTCATGAGAAGACGGAGCGGGGGACCATCTCACTATAAAATTAGCTCACCAATGCTTTGGCCAGCTCGCGATTCTTGTCTGAGTAAACGCCGACCTTTTCCCGGAGCTGACGTAGCTCCTGCATAATGCTCAGCGCCCGCGCGCCGCTGTTGTCTTGGGTCATGGTGGTCAAAACTGCGTCGTTTAATGATCACTTTCTATGGATACTTAATGAATTGATACCCTTACAAAAGTTTACAAAGGGAGCAGTATGTACAGTACTGGGTATGTGCTCAAATGTCAACTATAAAAGTTTACAAGCTGGGCAATTTTCACGTTTTCGTGAAAAATGATTGAGGTAGAGGGCGATGCCGCGTTCGAGGCGTTCCCGGGCGAGAGTTTCCGTTTTGGCGTAGAACACGTGGACGGCGTCGGAGAGATCTGGCTAGAGAATCAGTCGTCCAAGAAGCGCTGGTGCGTCTGCGACAGAGAGACCGAAATGACCCGCAAGTTGTGTAATGGCAACTTTTCGTGTCTGTGTGCAGGAAATGCGAGGTGACGGACGTGGAAGAGTTTGCTCCAGCAGACGTAGTTTTACCGCAGAAGACGGTTCTTCACTACGTGGCGGTACGTATTGCTGCTTTAATAGTACGTGAAGCCGTACGTTTACTCTAATATTGTCAAATGTCAAATAATTAGGCAAGTTTGAGGGTGTCCGCTGCAGCTAATGCTGCGAATTTTGGACCAAAACTTGTGCGGGAAGACAATGACGAGACGCTGCGTCTGGAAGTGCTGATTAAGCTGGGAGTAGCCGACTTTGCATGGGCACCCAAGTATATTTTCCCAATGTCTTTAGTGGCTCGAAGTCCGCCGTCAATCGAAGCGCAGGCAGAGCAGATCACAGTCTTAACTACACAGGTCCAGGAACTTCAGCAAGAAGTGAATACACTGAAGCAGCAGATGCAAACTATGCTGAAGGCTCAAGCGACTGCCGCCTCTGCACCAACAAGATCGAATGTGGCACACTCGACACCTCCAAGTCTCCCACCTGCACCAGTGGAGCCTGGTAATGTCGTCGTTATGGAAAGTGAGGCGACGGTGTCGACACCGTCTCGAACAGACAAAGTCTGGAGTGATATCATTGGCCAGTCACACCACAAACTTGTGCAAACGGACGAGTATCGAGAGACGCGGAACCCTCTAGGCATGACAATGCGCAGCCACCGCCAGCACACGTGCAAAGTGTGTTCTGTACTGCGCAGTAGTCGTAAGCGCGCAGCTCTGTCGTCCCGCTACTGCCGGGAGTGTACTGAACGTCATAATGGTGGGATGGTGTTCTTGTGCGACAGAGCTCGACCCCATGACCCCGAAGAGTACCGAAACGCAACGTGTAGTCAAATCTGGCACTTGATGTGGAACAATGGGGAGAATATTCCACAGACTGGGAAGAAATCATCCATAAGAATGAGGAAAAAACTTAAAACCGACTCGGAGTGAGAGCGAAACACACTAAACCATTGAGACAATACCCTCGCGGAGAGCGAGACGCTAAGATAATGAAATTATTCAAGCAGTACCTTCTCTATTCCAAGCACTTCTCTTCTGGTAGTACCGAGTATGGATACAACAGCATCGCTACTTGCACATGGTTTCGATGACTGGCAATGGTATACGCGTTTTCCCCTTTCTACATGTACATGTAGCCGAATACCCACAGGTTAGTTCATAGCGGTGGCAGTGGAAAGCGATATTGGATCAACGCGCCTTGTTCACTGCAAACGGGTCAGCTCCTTCCCGAAGCAATAATTCGACAATATGGGTGCGTCCACCCTGTGCAGCTTTATGAAGCGGTGTGCTTCCATCGTGAGCTGCGTCATTTATAATGGCTCCGGTCGTGATCAGCAACTCGCAGATTTTCGCGTTTCCAAGAAGTGCTGCGTGATTAAGTGCGGTACATCCGGTCTGCGGGACATCGGTGTTCATCATTAGCGACATATACATGTAGAGCATGAATCCTACTGAGATTACCTGGTCGGTGATGTTCGGGTCCCCGCCACCCTCGGTCAGGAGTCGATGCACACGGTTGTAGTCGTTATTAAGAGCAGCCACGTGCAACGGAGTGTTTGCTGGGGCGAAGGTGGGGTGACGGAGCTGAGCATAGTAGCGTTTGAAAGACGCACTTAGTTGCAAAGGTGAACAAGAACTCATTAATAAAAGACCCCGGGAAATCAAACAAACTGGTGGGTTCCCGTTCGTGGTGACTTCAGTTTGGTAAAACTGTTTATAGACTTATCTGTGCTGGGTGGTTCGAGCCTCATACTACGTCCCTTACAAGATTTTGGTCGCGTCTGACGCTGGCAGGATCACGGTCTGCATGGAATGCGCAGGCAGCGACAATGTGAATGTCTTTGAATCTGTCTGCTTCACGCTCACCGTTACGGCTGAGTTGTCACGGCTCATTAGTTGTAGCACTACCCGGTTGCCAGGGGTTACGAATGCACATCGATGAAAGTTACTCAGTGTCTTGGTCTTGGGGAACTCGATGCGCTTTGATCCAGCCGGAATGAACTTGGAGAAGTGGCCCATGATGTAAAACATGGGCTGCTTGTAGAACTCGCTGCCATCCACTATCAGTGCGTCCACATTATTCTTCGCCCACGTTGGGCCCCCCGTCGTATCGAGTGCCAGATTCCAGTCTGTCCAGCCAACGACATAGTTGTTCAGGTCTTCAATGATGTCGTGTGCATAGTTTTCAGCACGCGACCAGCTCTTATCGGCGTTAGTAAGTGAAACACCGGAGCCTGTGCCCAACCAGCTTGGTAAATAGCCTTCACAGGCTTCAGTTGCGAGCATGAAAACATCCGGGTACTTTTTCCTGAAGGTCAACAGCTTGTCAAAGTCACCACCCAAGCTGAAGAAGAAGAAGTCGAGATCACGGTACCAGTGGAACCCGAGGCCACTAATGTACTTCAAAGCGTCAGCATCCTCGAATGGAGCAAGGCGGTCCAAGATGGTAGACTTTTGGTCGTCACCGGCGATGATCTTGAGATCAGGGTGGTCCTGTGCCATTCTTGGACCCAAGTCCAGCTTGATGAAGTCACGTTCCTCGGCGGCCGTCAACCGCAAAGACTGCCACGCCAACGTCTGCAGAATCGACTTGGACGGCTCGTTCTGCACCGTCATAGCCCAGAAGTTGATGCCTCCCTCCGAGTACGCAGCGAAGAACTTGGAGTAGTACAATGCCAACGCCTTCCAGTATTTTTCTCCTGGCTTACCTTTCACGTGGCAGTTAAGCGTTGTGTTCTTGGTAGTCATCCACGCTGGAGGGGCCCACGAAGATGCGTAAAGCTTCATCTCATGTGACGTCGTGTTGAGTGCACGCTGGATGAGCTCAATCTTGTGAGACGACGAAAACTTGTCCACGTTTACGGAGAAGTGCTTCATCTCGAAATCGTCTACTACGTCGTTGTACGAGTAGATGCCAGTAGATAAATCTGTCGAGCCGATCGGTACGCGGCCTAAAGTGTACTGAAGCCCTGTCTCCGAGAAGTACTGATCCAGCACCATTTGTTGTAACTTGGACAACAACTTGTAGACGTTGATGGCTGCAGCGTCCGTAAAGGTACCACCGAAGCCGATGATTGTCTGGTACTGGGTGGACACGTCGATGGAGTATGTGGGGTTGCTCACAGCCGTCGTGTCGATATTGATCACCGTGTAGGCGAAGCGGTCTCCATCCTTGGATGTGGTGTAGATTCCCACTTGTCCCGCCGTAAGGCTAGTGTAGTTGTTGGAGACGGTGTCACATTGCGTTGCATTGCAGACACAAACACCTTCGAGGTTGGTTTGGTAGCGTGTGGACCAGTTACTACAGGTGGCCGACACTTCTTGAGTCGCGAGCAGCACGCCAGCAAAGGTGGTCAACAGATACGGAACGATCATTACGTGGTGCGGTGGCAGAGTCGGCTGGTTACCTGCGAAGTTGCTGGCCTTTTCGAGTCTGACTGTTTTTCATGAACCTCGTTGAAAACTACTGCAAGAATCTTGCAGCAAGATACAGGATACTAGGGACAGCGCATGACCTCCATTGTGTGGCGAGTCATATTGGATGACGATAAACTGATTCTTAGTTGAGTTATCTGTGAGTTCAAAGCAGACGAAATAGACGGGCATGTTCTGCTCACTCATGAGTCATGACTGATACGATGGGTAAATACTGCAGGAACCAAAGAAGCCTGGGAGCTTAAACTAATGAGCAGCCATCATTATAAGCAGTGAGTCATATTTGATGATGTAAGCTGGTCCGCAGTCAGCTTTAGCTTCACGAGGAGCAGACGCCATTGCGTTCATCTTCCGAAAATCAAGAAAAAGGTAACATTCACCCTCCCGTGTCGTGATCGCACTATTTGTTGAAAACAACGGTTTGGATCGAAGTAGGGCGAATGACAACCTCCACCAGCTTACCACTTGGCGCTAAGATCTTCACAGTCTGTCCGCTGTTCCCTTGTTGAACATGATCGCCACGTACTGATTTTCGGGAGTCAAGAAGGCCGCCCAGTCCACATCACTAAGTCGTGACTTGCTTCCGCTTGCTGCTGTGAATTTGAGACGCACAGAGCCAGGGGTCAGAAACTTGGAGAAGTGACCCATGACGTAGTACATGGGCTGCTTGTAGATCTCGTTGCCATTGGTTTCATCCACGATGATCGGCGCATCGACGAAGTTCTTAGCCCAGTTGGGTCCTCCGTTCGTATCGAGTATGAGGTTCCAGTCGGTCCATCCAGACACATAGCTGGTGAGATCGTTGATGATATCCTTGGCGTAGTTGTGTGCTCGCCACCAACCGATGTTGAAGTCGCCCAGTTTCACTCCTGCACCGGTGCTCGTGACAACCCAGTCGGGAATGTAGCCCTCGCAAGCTTCTGTTCCGATCATGAACACGTTTGGATACTTGGTGTGAAAGGTAGTGAGGTCGCTAAAGCTGCCACCGATACCCAGAGGGAAATCGACGTTGGAATACCAGTGAATGCCCACACCAGCCACGTATTGAGCCGCTTCACTGTCTTCAAGAGCTGCCAACCAGTTGAGCAAGTGACTCTTGTTGTCGTCCATGAGTATGAGCTTCAGATTGGGATGATCGGCTTTCATTCGCGGGCCAAGGTCTTTCTTGATAAAGTCACGCTCAGTCGCTGCTGTGAATCGGAGACTCTGCCACGCGTTCAGCTTAACAAGAGGCTCATCGGGTTCATTCTGCGTCGTCATGGCCCAGATATTGATCCCTTCGTTCTTATACGCAGTGATGAACTTGGAGTAGTAGAGTGCCAGTGCTTTCCAGTACTGTTCGCCGGGGTTTCCCTTCATGTGGCAATTGAGCGTCGTATTCTCCTTTGTCATCCACACTGGCGGGGCCCAGGATGACGCGAAGATAGAGAGATTGCGCTCTGTCGTGTCCAGCACACGGTGGATCAGATCCAGCTTGTGCGTAGCCGATGACTTGTCCACAGCGATGGAAAAGTCACTCATATCGAAGTCGTCCACGGTGGCGTCGTACGAGTAAACGCTAGTGGAGAAATCGGTGGATGAAATGGGGATGCGACCCGTGGTGTACTGAATACCGTCCACCGAGTAATACGCGTCGAGGATCATGTTCTGGATCTTGTCATTCATCTTGTACAAGTTGATGGCTGCAGCATCCGTGAAGGCGCCACCAAAGCCGATGATGGTCTGATACGTGGTGCTCGCATCGATGATCAGATCGGCGTCAGCGGAGGAGCCGTCGACGAACGTGGCTGTCTCGTAGCGGAAGCGCTCGCCGTCTCGCGTTGTGCGGTATACCCCGGCCTGGCCCGATGCCAACTTCACATAGTCGTTCGGGAATGTATCGCAGGCTACAGTGCTATTGCAGACGCAGACACCATCGATGAATTTCTTGTATCGCATCGACCAGTTGTTGCAGTCGATGGCTTGGGAAAATGGTATCATTGCTGCAAGAGCAATGATTAGCAAGCGTGGTGTGACCATAGCTGGTAAAGTTGGGGCTAGTGCGTTTGGATGAACGAGGCCCTTTGGATGTTGGTGTTGAAATCCAAAGTGTCAGGCGCTGAGAATCTCAGTGAGATCTCCCTTAGAGTGAATGACCCAAGAGCTTTGCACTTGAGATTCAACTTGAGTCAATTCCGGAATGGTGAGTCCGACAGCAGCTGCTCACGTCAGGTCTCCTTCAAGGAGTCCTTGAACTCGGCTTCCAGATTGAGAGTTCCAGTGTAGAGATATGCCTTCGCTGCAGCACAATTCGTGGTACGAATACAAGGCTTGACCGAAGCACATCTACAGTCACGTCACTTCAACGATGCGATGCACGGTTAACCCTTGAGGCTCAAGTTGAGCAGAGCTACGAATCGCAGCCTACGATGGACGCTTAAACATTGACGGATCTGTCGCGAGAATGAAGCAAGCGGTGAACCGCTCCTCGAAGCTATAAATGCTGAAAACTATCTTAGCTCATTTTTGGTGGTGCAAAATGCCTACCGTTGTCCCCCGTACCAACCGCCTTAGGCGTTCAATTTTAATACAACGCACAGTGTGCTTTGTATTTGTTTAGAGCGCCTAGGCGTTCAATTGAAGAGTAAAGGTCAAAGTGAGACGAACGCAAGGCCCATTGACCCAAATGTATTAGATGTGCATTCCTTCCACTTGCAGGCAGTAGTACAGCCCAAATCTAGCTATGGAAATCGTTCTAGAAGCGTCGTATACGGAGTACGTGAACGTCGACACGACCTTGCAATTGTAGTTGAGTGTTTTAAGCTCGATGCTGCATCCAAGGTACTGAGCTGCTGCAAAAATCACGAGTTCGCTTCCGCCACTCTGTTCATTCCGGATGGACACAAGGTAGTCCTCGTCAAACAATCCGCTGAGCTCTTCGAGCTCTTGCATATACTGCGTCAGATCGGTAAGGTAGTCATCTTCATACCTAGCAAACGCGTGCCTAAGACAACAGAAAAGGCTCGAGCGAATATCTTCAGGCGTGTACCAAGCAGGTTTTTGGAGACAGAGTCCCTCCTTGTCATCGTCGCTGTCGTAGTCGTCGAACAGGTGCTGGTACCGGAGGTGCCATTCGTGCATGTCGATGCTAGAGTCAAGCAACTCTCGAAGTGGCGGGTGCAGTTCCGACTTGTCAAATTTGGAGCGCTCAACAATGCCACAGACCCGAAATGCCTTCCGTGTGTCCTCAGCTGTCCTCGTAGCGATCCAGTTCAAAACCCATTGTGCAACAACAGAATATTTTGGGACCTTGGTGTTTCCTGCCTTAGTCTGCAGCTTGGGGTCATCAAGTGCGCGTCCAATGTATTCGTCATACTGGTCAGAGTAAAAGGCTTGGAAGCTACGATTCACAGCCACATCAAGAGGCTGAAGAAGACTTGTCAGGTTAGGTGGTACCAACAACTCGTGGATATTGTATCCCTGAAGACGCTTCTCGTTGAACAGCGAAACGTGGCACGCATACGAATCAATTATGAAAAGCACGTGCTGCCCGAAAAATCGTGTCTCCTTCCTGCTGCAAATGACAGTCTTCGCGTAGTTGATGAGAATGTTGTCGTTCCACATGCCGGTACTGTTAACATCCACAATAACGCCCTCAGGAACCGTCGGCTTGTGCTTTAGTTTTGAAAAGAGAAGATGAGGAGTTAGGAATTCGCCTTCACCAGTGATAGCGAACGTTGCTGTGAATCTCTTGTGGCTGCTTCCTCCTTTCCGAAGAAGCACTTCGGGTTCTCCACGAGTTGCAATGGTCCTTTTCGGCTCGGTTTCAAAGTACCGAGGAACTTGGTCCATATTAATCACGTTGCAGGGCAAAATGCCGTGCTCCTCAATCAATCTCTGAGCTGATTCGATGAATTCCAAACAGAATTCCTTGGCGTTTGACGGGATCGTTCTTGTCGTTGTATGGCGCCTTGACACGAGGTTGTATCGGGTCTTAAAGCGATCTAGCCATCCTGTTGAAGCGACAAAATTCTGCTGCGGTATGTCCTGCTGGGAACGGTGGATGTTCAATGCTTGAAGTTGGATGTATCTGTCTTGACTCGTAGTCCCTTTTTGTTTCGGGCCGTTATCCAGAGATGGAGCTTCTTCTCGAGTTTGTCGAACTCAGGTTTACGTCCGGCACCGGAAAAGCGACGCTGCATGCGTGTAACAACTTGGCGGTCCCTTAAGGCGCCTTCAAGCTTGTCGAGTTGCTCCACCCAGCTGCGTACCATAGACGAAGACACCTTGTACTCTAGTGCCAGTGCATGATATCCGTGTCCTCTAGTGTTGGGCTTGTACTTGCTAGCGACTTGTCGCTTAAAGTGAAGGCTGTAACTGTTCCGCTTTTTGTCAGGTGACATTGCGGTCGGAGCAGACAATTGAGAAATGCCGTCGAAGCCCAGGCCAGGCTCGCAAACCAAGCCGACGACGATGGGTTTCGTAGAACGGTTTGTCGAGCGCTGCTGATGAAGCCTCAGCTTGCTCTCGCAACCAGCAATTTGGTCGGGAATAGGCAGCGACTGTTGATGGTTAAGGTTCGTTCTATTTGACCATGCCTTCAAATCGCAAAAAAATAAAAAAAAATACCTCGAATTAAGCGCTTACGCGGTTGGTACGGGGGAAGACGGTAGCATTTTGATTTTCGAAAAGACTCGTTTTGATGTGTACCACATTTGTCGGAACATGCATATCCGGATGTTCTGTCTGGATAAATATACAGCTTTTTCACACTCCTTAATCGGACAATTTGTGTTCAGGACACGAATATGACGCTACAGTATCGTTTCCCACGCATCGTGGCAATCATTTCTTGAGCGACGATTACGATTCGGACCGGACAAAGCACCTCGCCATGGACAGAACATGCCAAACACATGTCTTTACTGTTTCAGCACACAGCAAATCATTTGACTTGACTTCTGTATACTTTTGACCTTCTGAGTGTCGCAATAAGACATAATCGACGATTAGAGGTCACAGCAGAAAAGGGACCAGTCGCGCTTCGCTTGGCTGGGCGCCCCTTCGGCGCCCCCGCGGTTCGCTGCGCTCGCAATATGGAGATAGAATGTTCTGGAAAGTGTAGTGCTCGGCTCGCTGGTGAGCTCAGCGCTGGGCCCGCCTCCGCAAATACCGCGCGGCCCTGCTTCGCGGGCTCTCCGCGCGGGTTTGCTGCGGCTACACCCGCTCACCTTAGTTGGCGCCGCGGCTATGGCACCCACGTCGCCCAGCCCCGTGTGTGTTATCCCAGCGATGGACGTGTGTTTCTCCTATTTCCTCCTCGCCATGACGTGTGCAACGCCTTCAACTTCCCAGTGAAGCTGAATCTGCTCTTTGTGACACCTGCAGCCGGCGACTTCTTTAACCGATCGGCACCGCTGCTGCAATCTCTCTTGCCTCGCAAGGATTCACTCGCTCACTCTTTCGCGCTGCCAGCGGAACATGACTGCCCACAAAAGCTGGACCAGAGCGGCACTCTGGGCGCGCGCGCTGCAGCCTCAATTGCATTTCCGAACTTGCCTGGTCGAGACGAAGTACCCACTGAGAGATTTGTACACCTGAACGTCGGAACATGCAGGTGATCAAGCCCTTGAACTACGTGCTGGCATTGCTGGCGATGCAGGTTGTGAGCGCTGCCACCAACAGCTGTACGTCGTGGTCGGAGCGCTTTCAAAAGAACCTCGAGGGTGTCTGTGTTTGCTCTGAAGCAACATGCGATACCATAGACAATGGGCATCTGCATTTGTCAGGTAGCGAAGCTGGCGTGTTCACGACCAGCAAGGCTGGAGACCGTTTGACCTTCTCGACAGTCGACATGGAAGCCACAGCCAATGAAGCTGCGGACTTTGTTATTGACACAACGAAGACATACCAGTCGATTATTGGCTTTGGTGGCGCCTTCACGGACTCGTCAGCTATCAATCTGCATATGCTGAACTCTAAGCTGCAGGACATTCTCGTGGACGCGTATTTTGGAGATGACGGACTCCAGTATACCATTGGTCGAATCCCTATTGGATCTACGGATTTCTCGCTGACTATTTACTCATACAACGATGTGGAGGGTGACTTAGCCATGGAGAACTTCAGCATTGACATGGACAAGGACAAGAAGATTCCATTCATTCACCGGGCTATGGGCAAATCTTCTCGAGGCTTGAAGCTCTATGCATCGTCGTGGGCACCGCCTGCGTGGATGACTACGGAGAACACGACTATCAACTGCGCTGTCCAAGGTTACCCGGGCGGCGAGTACTGGAAGGCTCTGGCACTTTACTACTCCAAGTTTGTGTCTGCATACGAGGCCGAAGGAATCCCTATTTGGGCCATGACGACGCAGAACGAGCCCACGCAGCAGTTCGCGTTCAAGTACTGGCAGAGTCTGCGCTTCAACGTCACCACGGAGCGTGACTTCATCAAGCGCGACCTTGGTCCACAAATGAAGACCGACCACCCCGATTTAAAGATCATCATGATGGATGACCAGAAGGACTTACTCCTGGACTGGGATGCCACACTACTTGATGCCGAGTCGGCACAGTACGTCTCCGGTGCGGGTGTTCACTGGTACAAGAACTTGGACTTCCTGGTCGACACAGCGGGCAACTTCGCCGACCTCGAGACATTCCACGAGAAATACCCTGACCTCTTCATCTTAGCGACGGAAGCGTGCGAAGGGTATCTGCTTGATGGTATCGTAACGGGTGCTGGCCCCACCCTACAGAACCCGACGTTCGCGTGGCAGCGTGCTCAAATCTACGCGCGTGACATTATTGGAGATCTTGCTCACTATGCTGCCGGCTGGACGGACTGGAACCTGGTGCTCAACACCACTGGTGGACCTACGTGGATCGACAACCTGATCGACTCGCCCATTCTGATCGACGAAGCAGGTGGCGCTGAGTTCTACAAGCAGCCAATGTACTATGCAATGGGCCACTTCTCCAAGTTCCTGCCGGCCGACTCGGTCCGTGTGTCCCTGTCTACCAGTTCGAGCGCGTCGTCGACCCTCGCTAAGGTGGATAGCGTGGCGTTCTTGACCCCTGACAACCAAGTGGTGCTCATTCTTTCCAACCGCGACAGCTCCGCTCATGACATCACGTTGAGTCTGTCTAGCCAACAGCTTAGCACCAGTGTTACGCTGGAAGCTCTTTCGATAAAGACGCTTGTGATTGGTAAGCTCGAAGGAAACAGCAGTTCCGGCTCGAGTGAGACGCCAAGCGCTACAACCGGTACCCCCCTCTCGTCGACCAGTTCGTCCGGATCCTCCACTGGCACTTCTAGCCCTGTGAGTGAGACTCCTTGCGCGACAACGGCAAGCCCCACTTCTTTGACGAGCAGTGCTTCTTCAGCCTTGGAGACCCCCGAGCCCACTGCGCCGGAGCACGATTCGTGCTAACCATCTAGTCCTCTACTGAGAAGGGTCAATGCCATAAAGTGCCCGTCAAAATACATGTACAACTTTGCATCTTTTGCTTGACTGTCATGAACATGAGGAAGTTCTTGAAGAAACTGCGTCGGATCAGGTGCCTTGGCATGTTTCTACCCCTGGTTAAGTAAAATCAATGAACTTTATGCTGTAGAGGACACACTTCCATTCACCCAAAATGCGACTCCAGCCGTTTGTGCGTCTCCTGTCTGTCGCCGGTGCGCTACTTGCGGGCCAACACGACGTCGCGGCTTCCTGTTCCTCGTGGTCAACTCGGTTCCAACAGGAAATTGATGGCGTGTGTGTATGCAACGCCACGAATTGCGATTCGATATCAACCGAGTATTTGTCACTGTCCAGTAGCCATGTTGGGTTGTTCCAAACGTCTAAGGCGGGCGATCGCCTTGCATACTCAGCTCTACTGATCGACAAATCAAGTGACGATGCAGCGGACCTCATCATTGACTCGAAGACAACGTATCAGAAAATCATCGGCTTCGGAGGCGCCATCACGGACGCAGCAGCGATCAACGTCTATCTAATGGAATCGAATGTCCAGCAGCTCATCATAGACGCATATTTTTCCGACACAGGGCTCCAGTACTCGCTGGGCCGTATCCCCATCGCCTCCACAGACTTCTCCGAGTACGTGTCCTCGTACAATCCATCGGTCGACGACTTCGAGATGGCAAACTTTAGCATCGACGTGGACAAGGAACCGCTTTCGAACAAGTTGAGTCTGATCCAGCGTGCATTGAATGAGACCTCAGCAGGCGGCCGGAACCTCACACTCTTTGCTTCGTCATGGGCACCACCTGTATGGATGACGACGAGTAACACAACGCTGAACTGTGAGATGAAAGGCTACCCTGGCGGCGAGTACTGGGAGGCCCTTGCGCAATACTACTCAAAGTTCATTGACGCATATGAAGCGGAGGGAGTCGCCATTTGGGGTTTGACAACGCAAAACGAGCCTACAAAACAAGAGCTCGCTACGAAGTTCTGGCAGAGTCTTCGGTTCAATACAACCACCGAACGTGACTTTATCAAGCGAGATCTGGGTCCACTAATGAAACACAAGCACCCAGATCTGAAAATTATCATTCTAGATGACCAGAAGGACTTGCTACTGGATTGGAATGCCTCGCTTCTCGACTGTTGAGGTTAGGGCCCGTCACAGGGACCGCCTCTCCATCGTGCTCTCTATAAACTAATAATGAAGAGACACGGTATTTTTGACTCTAATAAATAATGTACTAAAATGTCTGGAACATTTTAGTACGATGAATGGTAGCGGCAATTCTAGACTATGTTTCTGAATGCCGCATACTAATTTCTTGTTAGTAGCCCGCTACTTTCTTAAACATTAATCTTACTTCTTTTTTTACCGAGTCCACCACAAGCTCTTCTTCTTTTACTCCTTCCTACCCTGACTTCCTTCTACCTGCGCCCAAGTTCCCCGCAACAGGTTATGAACCCAACGCTCAAACGCAAAGCGCCACCTGACTCAACAGGTCATGAGTCCCAGCCAAGCCTCAAGTGACGACTTCCCTCGACTTACCGGTCCTCGCAACTTCGACGTCTGGAAGGCCCGAGTACGTGCTTCGCTAGACGGCAAGCATCTCCTCGGTTTCGTCACCAAAAAGTACTACAATGGGGTCAGTGATGATGAAGATGAAGTCTCTGCAAGCGGTACCGACATGTCCGACGATGAAGATACGCCCAAGCCGGCAGTGTCCGCCGAAATCGACTCCGATGAGGTCGACTTCGAGGACAGCTCGGAAGAGCTTCAACCAAGTGATGAAGACGACAGCAACCCATCTGGCAAGAAGATCCAGAAGAGTGATCTACCTACTGTCCGCCCGTTCGCTCAACGCAAGACTGGACGTAATCGTAAGCGAACTAAGGTGGAAAGACCTGTTCCTCCATCTGCTCGCCAACTCCGTCGTATGGAAGCGCAGACCAAGGCATTCTTGATGAAGACGATGGACGATACTCATATCCGTCTGGTCAAGAACCTTTCAACAGCCTTCGACATCTTTCAAGCTATCTGTACCAAGTACGAAGGCGGAGCTTTCCATGGCGATCCCTACTTCATCCAGCATTTCCTGATGGAGATCAAGTACGAAGAAGGCAGCGATCTCACGAACTTCTTCTTGGAGCTGGAAAACGCGATGAAAGCCGCGTCCGAGGCAACCGAGTCTACCTTAACTGATGGACAGAAGTCACTATACCTGTTCCACTCCATGCCAAAGAGCTGGAAAGATGACCTTCGTGTCTGGAAAGGTGTGCGGAAGTTTATCCCGTACGAAGAACTCAAGATGAGCATTGAGGCGAAAGTCCGTGAGCTCCAAGCACAGGAACGCTACTGCCTTGCGAAGGGTACTCCTGAGAGCCAAGGTACTAAGACTGAGCAAGCCCTGATTGCGCCTGTGCATGACTCCATTTCCATCTAATAGACATGTTGTACGCTCTTCTGCTCCATTACAAAAGATTCATTCTGACATATGTGGACCTCTTCCCGTCAATAGCCTCAGCGGCTGTCGTTACTTTGTGGTATTCATCGATGACTTTAGTCGCTACATGTTTACCTACCCCATCAAAGCACGTTGCCAACTTTGCGCCAGCCACTGAGCTGTAGCGCTGCATGTGCAATAGATCGCCATGCTGGGAGGCCATGTTGCCCTCTACGCCAGCAAACGAGCTGCACGCGGTGAGCAGCACGTCTGCCACGCGGTATCAAGCCAGATGAGAATCTCCCTGGACTCCGTACCATACGCACTGCGTATTGAGCCTACGAAGCAGTAGCACTTTTTTGCATGAGCAATGTCTGTCAATTGACTAAATAGTGTGCATGCTTCTCACTACTTCGAGGTATAATAAAATCCGGAATACAATCCGAAGAGTCACCAGGGAGAAAATTACCCCAAAGCTGTGAGCTAGATAAAATGTAAGTGAAGTGTGCTCCTAATATTGCTTTGGTGCAAGCATTGTTACCTAGCTGCTCAAAACATATTTATGCCACATTCACAAAAGAAATTTATGAATAAAATCAAACATGCAATTTGCAAGATGCAAAAACAAAATTGCAAATTTCACAAAGGCTGCCAAGCTTGTACGAAGAAAAAAATATATATATATACCCCAAACGTTGAGAGAGAAAAACTTAACGAAATGTATGAAACTGGGAGGCATCAACGCCAAAAAACTATTCATGCATTCGCCAAACTTTAGCATTTATGGTCACTGGCAAAAGTTTCAAACATTTCCAGCATAACAGTACCAAAAGAATGAGAAAAAAAATCAACACTTTATGACTACAAGACAAGCCTACAGAAGCCTCTGTCTACAGAAAGCAAACTATAGTTTTACTGCATCAATTTCATCTACAATGAATTCGATATTTGCAAATCTATCGCTAGCGCTTGCGAAGTAAAAATAAAATTATAAACTTCCAAACGAGAAACAGCTCGATGAGCCTCAAGGGAGAAAAATAACCCCAACGACGAGAGCCTGCGCACTTACTGCAAATATGATGCGTACGCTACCGATGACACTGTTTGATGCTATTTATGCTCTTAAAAGCTGTAGCCTTTCTTCAAAAATATTTGAAAACTATAAGCTCTCAATAACAATAGTCAGAACAATTTTTCAATGACTGCAGCACCTATATCAACCATTTCATGAAATTGGGAGGCAATTCTATAAGACCTCAGCAGCGAAAAACAAAAAAACAAACCACACATTGTAAAGAAAATATCCACATATTAAAGAGCAAAACAATGGCAGTTTAAGAAATGAACAAAGCTAAAACGCTTACACAAAATATATAAAGATAAATACGGTGATCAGGTGTATCCTCAAAGGTTTCCTGAGTAGCCAACAGCAGAGCGAACAGGTTTTGATCCTTAAAATTAAAGGTTTTCCTGAGGTAGCTTCTACAAATTCGTAAAGCTAAAACGATAACAGCAACAATTCAGCGAACAGGTTTTGATCCTTACAATTAAAGGTTTCCCTGAAGTAGCTGCTACAAATTCGTATAACTGAAATGATAGCAACAACAATCACTACGGTGAACAGGTTTAATCCTCTAAGGTTTTCCTGAGTAGCCAAAATAACAATGAAAACAAGAAATCAGCACAGTTATTGCCAAAGCAAAACGGCACAAGGTGACAAATCTGACAATGAAAGTCAAAGGAAAAAGATCATCAATATCAAAACAAGATCTACTTCTTGTAAATGCTCATGTACGTACAGGACTGTTATAACAGCCACCTGTGGTAACTATCCGACAGATAGAGCATCATACACATTCCTCGATGTGGGAGGCTGTCGAAGTAAGCATCTCCGATGTGATGATGACTATCTAGTGAAATATAACTGTACTATTTCATATAAAGAAATCGTAGTCGAAGGTAACTGCTTTGGGGCAGCCATTGTAATGAGATGCACGGCGATAGTAGGGTCCATCCGGGCCACCTGCGCCGGCCGAGGCATGATCCTCAAAGCTGGCGTTAAATAACTGAGCCTCGAGCCAATCTGCCTGGTCTCCACAAGTATCCTGAATGACGCCGACTGAGCGAGAATGAAGCGTTGCAATACCCAAAGCTGGCTGTTGAACCACCGAATTTTTGTTGGTGTCGTGGCCTTGACGTGCGTGTCCTTGACGTGCGTGTGGCTGGTGCGGTGACAGTAGTATGTAAATTGTGATGTGAGACTACGAGATCAGCTCGATGAGCCCCACGAGCTGCTGATTAATCCTATACGCGCGCCGGACCATAGAATAAG